GAATTTAATATCTGTTTTTACTCTGTGAACATGTTTGTTCTCGTGCTTCCTGCAGCAGAAGTTCCGACAGTGAGGTTCGGCACACAGGACACCTGGGATCTGACTAGGTCATGGCCAATCGAGGAGGAGCTACGAGACCCAATGGACCAAATGCAGGGAATAAGATCTGTCAGTTTAAGCTGGTGCTGTTGGGGGAATCGGCTGTGGGGAAGTCCAGCTTAGTGCTTCGCTTTGTCAAGGGCCAGTTCCATGAATTCCAGGAAAGCACAATAGGAGGTAAGGTCATGTCATCAAATCAGGATGTTTCTGACAACCTGGCAGTTCTGTTGTTTTTTTTGTTGTTGTTGTTTGTTTTATTAGTTTGTTTTCCTGAGAAGTCCCCATTCAGAAAACTGATGCTTTTGTGTTGACACATTTATCAGCTCTTTTGTTTATATGACCTCGTAAAGATATAGTTTTGGTGTCGTTAATGATCACGCAAAAATGACTCGTCTCTTCCTATCTCCACAGCGGCCTTCCTAACCCAAACAGTGTGTCTTGATGACACAACAGTGAAATTTGAAATCTGGGACACTGCAGGCCAGGAGCGTTACCACAGTTTGGCACCAATGTATTACAGAGGAGCACAAGCTGCCATTGTGGTCTACGACATCACAAACGAGGCACGTTCATCCTTGACTGAGACCCAGGCCTTCCAGAGCACTTGTAGAGCAAGTTAAAACATGAAAGTAGCATTAGATGTTGACAAGTGGTACCGTGTCTTCATTTTTTTTTCAGGAGTCCTTTGCACGGGCCAAGAACTGGGTGAAGGAGCTACAACGACAAGCTAGCCCTAATATAGTCATCGCTCTGTCAGGAAACAAAGCTGACCTGGCTAACAAAAGAGCTGTGGACTTCCAGGTCAGTCTAGACAAACCTTAGACTGTGTCGTAGGCTTTCATGATTTTACAATTATTATTATTATTATTTTTAATCTAATATCTCTGTGACCTTTCTGTGTGGAGGTTGCATGTTCTTCCTGTGTCTGTGTGGTCTTTCTCCGGGTACTCCAGCTTCCTCCCACAGTCCGAGCACATGTAGTTAGTACAGTTATTTAATTGGTGATTCTAAATTGCTCATAGGTGTGAATGGCTGTCTGTACCTCTCTGTCAGCCCTGCGACAGGTTGGCAACCCGTCTCCAGCCCCACCGCAAAACTGAGTTGGATGAGGGGAGGAAAATAGGTGGCTGGGTGATCACGTTTCTAGCAGACGCTGCATTCTAGAGCCATGACTTCCATTTTTAATTATCCTCTAATTGTGTTTCTCTTATGCCTGAAGAAATGCGTGTTGGAGGATGTATTAAAAATTGTTTGTTTACATTGTGTCAACAGGACGCCCAGTCCTATGCAGATGACAACAGCTTACTTTTCATGGAGACATCGGCCAAGACGTCTATGAATGTGAATGAGATATTTATGGCCATTGGTGGGTAACTTTTAGGACTCAATTTGTAGATATTTGTTTTTCTGCACATTTCTGTTATTCAGAGTTAGAACTGTTCCCTCGTAGCAAGAAGGTGATGGCTTGAAGCCCAGTTTAGGGCTCCTTCTGTGTGGAGTTTGCATGTTCTCTGCTAGCCTTGGCTTTCTACTGTAGCTCCAGTTTTCTTCTGCTGAAAAGTACACAAGGTTTACAAAGCTGCTGTTAGGCTTGGACAATCACAAATTCCTAAGAGGTTTCAGTTCCTGCTTAAAATGCAAGTTAAAAATTAACTGGAGGACAAGGTCAGACTAGCATGATTGATGTGTTTGTTAATTAATTTTTTTTTTTTATCATTTGTAGCTTCTCTTTTCTGAAAATCGTTTTATTATTTGTTTGTTTGTTTGTTTTTTGTTTTGATTTCTTCCAGCAAAGAGATTGCCAAAAAATGAGCCTCAGACTGCAGGAGCAAACACTGGGCGCAGCCGGGGAGTGGACCTGACAGAAGCTGCCCAGCCAGCCAAGGCTCCATGCTGCAGTAACTAACATGAAGAACACCCTCCTCCCTACCAACCTGTATGGCAGTAACTAATGTGGTCAATGCCCCAAATGCCACTGCAGTTACTAATGCAATGTGTCACCTACTCTCTGAAACAAGAAAATATGTCCTGCGCTCGCTACCCCACTCGTCCACTTTTAACAAATTCATTGCCATCACACTGATCTTTCTTTGCGGCTCTGCCTCTTTTCCTCCATTATGGTTCTGCTGCTACCCGGGGAAGCCTCCTAACCACTTTGTCTTACTTTCTGCCATCGAGCTTGTTACATCTATCGTATTATTGATAGATCAGTGATAGCAGATATTAGAAACATTAGAGCACCCTTCCTCGCTTTGTCATCATCTTTACACCGTGTAGACATGAGTTTCATCTGGAGGAAGTGATCACTTCTCTTTTCTGGGATAGCTTAAGTCTTTAATATTGCATTTCTAATACCAGTCTTCTGTTTTTGTTCAATTTTTTATAACTTTGTTGATTATTGTTTACTGTAATTTTGTCAAACTTGTGGATGCACATGCTAGCATATTTAGGCGGCCTAAAAGTTAAAGAGTTACACATTTAATCTGCAGTAGAGCAGAAAAAGTTGGTTGGAGGAGTGTGTTCTTGTTAATCTCAGAAAGAGGAAAGGTGGAGGGGGCAGAGAGAAATTGTAGATTCTGTCTCTCTTGTTGTTTCTAGGGCCCTTTATCTCGTAGCTGGGAGGGGGGGGGGGAGAATAGTTGGTCCTTATAACCCCACTCCCTCCATTAAACCCAACGTAGCACTAGTGCATAGCTTCTCACACCACCTTGTCTCCATTCTGGGCCCGTGCCTGCTCCTAGCTGTCCTTCGTGGCATTGTGCAATGTTTCACAGTATTTACTCTGTGAGTTGTCTGCAAGGACCAGTGCTGCGCAGCAAATCCCCTTGTGTCTACAAACACAGCGCAGAGGCCTCTACGGTACACGTCAGTGTCACCAACTGCCCACTTCATGATGTGTCCGTCCATAAACCTTGTGTAGACCACCCCTTTGTTGTCATACTGCGGTCTCTTGGGTTTCTGTTTTTCAGCGATTTATTCTTGTGCGGTTACTTTTTCCATTGTGTCAATGTTGCTCGACTGCTGGGTTTGCACTGGGGGTAAATCGAAGGTGATAGCAGTGAGTGGGGAGTTGCAATATGTAAAGTTGCTTCTTAATTAATATCGGAATCATAAATGTTTGACATCTTCTCTTGATTAGAAAGTGCTTTAGACACGGCGGTGTGTCATTCTGTACAAAGCCCGGCCCGGGTTTGCTGTCTGGTGACAGATTACATCCTTCGACTTATTCACACGCATTTATCCGTGTGTTTTGTTGTTTTTGGCTTTTTTTTTTTAACACACATTTCCACAACTAAACACACACACGCCACTGACTTGTCGTCTCCCTCCCCACCTTCCCCTATTCCCTGTAAGACCTAAACATCACTGTACATGAACATACACACAGTCTGTTACACATCATCCACACCTTTGTCAAGCACACACTCTGCCCCACCGACACACAACCCCCCTAATTGTTACACACACACATGCACATAGAGTACTTTTAGTAAATAACTCTTTTTACAGGTCTGTCTTACTCATGCCTTGCACTAATGATGCTCATGAATATATCTTGTCATGATTTCAGCCAGTGTGATATATAAATATATATATATAAATATATAAATATAAATATATAAATAATATACTGTAAATAAGGTGTTGCAGTGTAGTCTACCTTTTTCAATTTACCAGTGACAGGACTAATGCTTGCTAGGGAGTTGTCTAGATAATCATAAAAAAGTGTACAGTTAGCAGGAAGGGGAAAAAAAACAGCTACAATCTGGGTTTGGAGTTTTGTTGCTGTTCCTTTTTTTCTTTGTCTTTTTTTTTTTTTTACACACATAAATGGTTAAATTATAATCAGTGGTGGTCTTTATAAATGTATCTAGTGTTTATTAACAACAACAAAAAAATGAAATTGCATTTATTTAGTCATCTGTCTTGTATATTTCTGTCATAAAAAATATATCCAAACATTTTTTGTTTTGTTTTTTAAGATTATCTCTTTACTTTACAGTTCTCCATTTTTTTCTTGTCTATGCCTTGTCCAGAACTATTCCTCCTCCTACTCCTTCCTGTAAGTAGACGTGAGCTTTCAGAGGCACAGGTTGTAAAACACCAGAGGAGTCGGACACCACGCTGCACAGTTTTTGAGCTTTCCTCTGTCTGTCTTCCTACATCTCGGTAACATTGTGACGATAATTGTAGGAACAGTAAAACAACTATCAGCTGGCACGATGGCGGTTTATGAATAGATGATTTAACACATAATAAGGATGCAAATTGTAATTTTTTTTTGTTTTGTTTTGCAGTGAACACTTATTTGCAGCCAGAAACATTTAAATGCAAGCATTTTACAGTACTGTTATGTAATGACCAAATAAATACTGAAATAAATTTGATCATTTATTATTGTAATCAGGCGGTGTGCGTGTGTGCGTGCCTTTATTTCCTCTGGGCCTCAATAGCTTTTTTTTTTTTTTTCTTTTTTTTTACACTTTTTATGTCTACTACTCTATATATCTGTTTGTTTTGTCCTCTGGATGTTATGACCTATACTTTTACTTCCCTCATACTCATCATGAAACTGATGAAAGCTTCTAATCATCATCAGTCCTGAACTTTAACCTTTTTTTATTGTTGTTGTTTGGGTGAGCATACTTAAGACATTTCCGTATGTTCACTGATATGATGTGAAAATATTTTTAAGGGTCTATAAATATATTTTTAAATGGTGTTGCTATTAATTTCAGTAATTTTTCAGTATAGTCTTGGAAGTCACCTGTGCCTGACTGAAAGTATGGATCCACTTTTTTTTTTTTCCGCTCCCACCACGTTTGACCTTGAAATTTTGCTATAAATGGTTGCATTTTGTGACCTCTCCTCTTTGAATTGTTGTGGAGTTGGCCTATCCCATGAAGGTCCCCTAGCGGAGGAAAATGGGCCTACAGCGAGAAATTGAAAATAAGGATGAGCGCCATGTCTGATCCTCCGTTTGTGGAATAGAGCGGACGGCGCAGCGAATATTCCCCGGGCTGGCGGTCCCTTCGGGTTTCGGTGGGAATCATGGCCGACAGCGCTGGGATTCAGCAAGGTTCGCCGGCCATCGGAGCCGCGGGCCTGGTTCCGGCCGCTCCTGGAGCCGGAGGCACGGAGGGCTCCGGCGCCGCTAGAGGATCCGCACGTATCGCCGTGAAGAAGGCACAACTACGCTCCTCGCCTCGGCCCAAGAAACTGGAAAAACTCGGAGTGTATTCATCCTGCAAAGTATGCCACATCTGCAAAAGCAGGGCTTTAAAGCGGGGTAGTTTTCGGGGCTCATACTTAAAGTGTGCTGCATTTCCTGGGCTTGGTTGCAATAGTTTTCAAAATGCAAGCACAGCAAAGGAAGCCATTGCCGCACTTGAGTTTCTTGTGTTTTTTCTTTTGCATGCATGAACCAGTTACTAAAGAGGTAATACTAAAAAAAAAAAAAAATATTGACACATTAAGTGTTTTGGAGGGGCTTTTTTTTTTTTTACATCTGGACTTCTCAGCAGGGGCCTTGCAGCTGCAGCCTGTTACAGTGTTACTGCTTCTGTCAAGGTGGGGGGTTGGTGAACGTAAACATTGGCTTGACGCTGGTTTGGGGAGTAGCTGGCTGTGTGCACAAGGTCTGGATACGCGTGTGTGTTTGTGTGCGTGTGTGTGGTCGTGCACGGTCTCGTGTTTCCACTGGAAATTTCACAGAGTCCCCGTGCCGTCCGTCATAGCAGGGGGGGTAAACAGAGAGGAGTTTATTGGGCTTATGCAGCGTATGATCCGCAGAGAGGGACGGGGTCTTTGTTTTGACAGGGTGACAGCTGCTGGCGGGGGCGGAGTTTGTTGTTGTTTCAGGGCGCATGCTCAGAACAGCACCTTCAGCTGATCATGTCCCCGCCCCCTGTTACTGTAGAAAGTCGGGCATAACATCTCTCGTTTAACCTGAGAGAGCCTGGAAAAGCCGCAGTTTGCTTTTAAGATATTTAAGATATTTATGTAATAAAAAAGCAAAGCTTAACAAGTTGAATGGTTTTCCTTAATTGTTCTGTGTAATCTGCCCCCATTTATTGCACATTTGCTGCTTTTAATATCGTGTTTGTGCCTGCTTGTATTCATTTAACCTCTGTTTATCGCAGGCTGAAGGAGCCTGTAAGTGTAATGGCTGGAAAAGTCAGAACCCCCCTCCTACACCTCCTCAAACAGAGCAGCAGTCCAACGCAGTCAACCTCCAGGAGCCCTGTCGGAGCTGCTCTCACACTTTGGGTAAGTCAGCATGCCCACCAGAGAAGCTGCATCAGAAAATAATACCAAGAAGGGTAAGCTAGATGAATTTTATTGGCTTATTTCTTCTTTCCAGGTGATCATGTGACCCATCTAGAAAATGTTTCAGAGGAGGAAATGAACAGGCTTCTTGGTATTGTTCTGGATGTGGAGTATCTGTACACGTGCATTCACAAAGAGGAGGATGCTGACACTAAACAAGTCTACTTTTCCCTCTTCAAAGTAATTTTATTGCTTTACACTCGATTTGAAGCAAGGTAGAGTTTTCAGATCTCACTCGCTTTAAACAAACGCCATCTTTTTCCATTGTCAGCTGCTGAGGAAGTCCATCCTACAGATGGGTAAACCAATGTTAGAAGCACAGGAGAGTCCGCCATTTGAAAAGCCCAGCATCGAGCAGGTAGAGAAACAAGTCTCCACTGCACAGACTCTTTCATCCTCTGATCTTTTCTTACTTTTGATGTATTTGTTCTTTCTTTTACTCCACGTTTCCGAAATAGGGGGTGAACAATTTTGTCCAGTACAAATTCAGCCACCTGCCATCTAAAGAACGCCAAACCATTATGGAGCTGGCTAAGATGTTTCTCAACCAGATCAACTACTGGCAGTTGGAAACGCCCTCTCAAAGACGCCAAAGGGTGCCCAATGACGATGCAGCTGGATACAAAGTCAACTACACTAGGTAGCAGAGTAGACAGATATCTTGTGCCTGCCTTTCCTGCACCAGTACAGTTACAAGCTGTAAGATAATTATGGGATATGCTTGTTCCAGATGGCTCTGCTACTGCAATGTTCCTCAGTTCTGTGACAGCCTGCCTCGCTACGAGACCACTCAGATCTTCGGGCGGACGCTTTTGCGTTCTGTCTTCACTGTGATGAGGAAACAGCTGCTGGAGCAGGCCAGACAGGAGAAGGACAAGCTCCCTCCTGAGAAACGCACACTCATTCTTACACACTTTCCCAAGTAAGAGATACAGAAGGCTCACATGCAGTTAGCCACACAGGCCTTCAAGTAGCTACACTCTGGGATGTGCTTCATATCCTCAGTATGAAACCAGACCGTAGCCACTAATGTAAAGTTGACTGCTTGTTTTAATATAGTTAAGTAGTTGTTGTGATTTCTCTGCTCAGGTTCTTGTCAATGCTGGAGGAGGAGGTTTACAGTCATAACTCTCCAATCTGGAGCCAAGACTTCTTGGCAGGGGCAGCGGGAGGGCAGATTCCTATCCACACAGGTGACATGCCCTCCCACACGCCCTCCCACACGCCCTCCCACACGCCCTCCCACACCCTCGCCGAAACGCTTCTCAAGATGACACTTGTTTGTTTTTTTTTAAGAAAAGGTTAAAGCCTATGACTGAATAAATTCAATTTCCTCTGTGTTTTTTTTGTAGTTATAAGTGCTGCTTCAGTGGCCAGGCCGCTGTACTACAGCACCAGTCCCGTGTCAGTGGACCCGTCCACCTGCGGCAGTGTCAGTCCTGCCAGGAAGGCAGCTTCTGTACTGGAGCCAAACCCAGGTATTGCTGACAAACCTGTTATTACTCATGAGGTTTCAGTTAAGCCAACTTATTGCGTAACAGTACAACAACAAAAAGTGTGGACCTGAGTAAAGTCAGCCTTCTTTTACACATTTAAAAGTGGAACGGTTTCTACTTTACAGCGAAATTACTCAAGTCAGCCGTCCTTTAAGATCGTTTCTAGTTTTGGAGATTTTTATGCTTTTAATGTAACCCTGTTTTAAGTGCTGCCTCTAAGATCTATCATCACATGAAGGTGAAGTAAACCCCAGAGCTGCTTCTAACAAACAAAGTACATATAGGTTTAAAATGAAGACTGAAGATAGTAGACTTCAGATGTCCGTCACTTGTTTACCAACCATACCAACAGTACCATGTCACCCCAACAGAGCACTTTGCTCTAAGACTGCAGGTTAACTTGTTAACTTGGATATTTAAAAGTAGAATGGGAGGCAGAGGCTTCAGCTTTCAAACATCTCATTCTGTAGAACCAGTTTCCAGGATTTCTGTCTCCACCTGCTTTCTTCTTTTTCCCTCTAACGCCAGTAACAACAGATGGCTTCCTCTCCCACAGCCTGGTTCTGTTGGAGCTTTCTTCCTGCTAAAAGGGAGTTTTTCTATCCCACTGTTGCCAAGTGCTTGCTCAGAGGGTTGGGTTTTTTTTTCTCTAATATTGTTTTTACCTTACAACATAAAGCCCCTTGAGTAATGAGAGCTTTCCTCTGTGTACACTCCCCAGCAGGAGAAAAGCGTAAACCTTCTGAGCCCCTTTCCCATGAGGAAAACAAGAGACCCAGGGTGGTTGGTGACATCCCCATGGACCTCATCAATGAAGTCATGGCGACTATCGCTGATCCTGCTGCCATTCCAGAGGTAACCCATTATTGTTTAGTCACAGCATGGAGCCCAATTAGTTAAATTAAATGAATTTAATCTTCATATGATAAGTAGTAATTTGGGCTAAAATTCTATGATTTCTATAATTATAGCCCACTTATAAGCTGTTTGTCAGAAACTGTATCCGAGTGCTTGTGAGGCCTGATGATTTCCACTTCCTCTTCATGTGTAACGCTCCCTGTTATGTTATCTTTGCCATGTCGAAAACTTAATCGCGAGCTTCATAAGAAATCTGAACCAATCACTACGGCGCGGTGTCATCTATGAGTGGGATAAGATAACGGCCCTTTTTACAGCTTCTCCTGCTGTTGCTGTATGTGACAAAAAGTAAAAGTGAGAAGACACACCAGCGCATATCACTCCAGCTTCTGATACACAGCTGTTTTCTTGAAACCCTTCTGTCAGTCAAGACGTCTCACATCTGTAAATCAAGTGAAGACAAACTGAAATGGCCCGTGCTCTCTTCTTCAGTTGTTTTGGGGTTACTCCTAGTTTATTTTGAAACTGGCATCACCTGCGATGCTTTTCAATCTGACTCAAGTCTTGGATTTTTAAGAGAAATAAGAAGGCACTGCAGATTTGCAAAGGGCAGTTATGTAATCTTCACAGATACCATCCAGACTCACAGCCTCTATCAGATTTTCCAGGCTGACACTTTATAACAAGAGTAAAAAGAATTAAAGTCATTAGATAATTGTAAATCTTCTCATCCTTCCAGCCTAATCATTTTCCTGTCAGTGTCAGATCTTATGGTAATTGGTCTTAATCTCCTTCCCAGCTGCCATAATGTCTGTATAGCACTTCATTTATTTTTTTTAGTCGTAGGTTAATTGTCCCTGCACAAAATGTTCAAGTCCTCTGCACATCACAGCAAATTTTGGACCATGATTTATTTGATACCTTCCTGTCTGTGCAGACCAGCCTGCTATCAGCTCACTCTGCACGTGACGAAGCCGCCCGCCTGGAGGAGCGCAGGGGCGTGATTGAATTCCACGTCATTGGGAACTCCCTAAACCAAAAGCCCAACAAGAGGATCTTGATGTGGCTCGTCGGCCTTCAGAACGTGTTCTCCCATCAGCTTCCCCGCATGCCCAAGGAGTACATCACGCGGCTGGTGTTCGATCCGTGAGTGTAACTCTGCCTCATCGTCACACCTTAAGTTCAGAGGGTTATAGAGAAGCAGATTCCCTCTGTAAAATTCATCTTTTTTTCTGGTAGGAAACACAAAACGCTGTCCCTGATCAAAGACGGCAGAGTGATCGGAGGGATCTGCTTCCGGATGTTTCCATCGCAAGGCTTCACAGAGATTGTCTTCTGTGCCGTCACCTCCAACGAGCAGGTCAAGGTGAGAGCGTGCCCCGCTTTATTTCTCAGCTTGGTGGGTATTCAGTGATATCTGGATGGCCGGCTCTAACCCTTTCCTGGTCTGACTGTTGTTGCAGGGTTATGGAACACATTTGATGAACCACCTGAAAGAATATCACATAAAGCATGAAATCCTCAATTTTCTCACTTACGCTGATGAATACGCCATTGGGTACTTTAAGAAACAGGTAACATTAATAACGGCCATTAGTGACAATAATATAATAAACAGAGGCAGAACTGCTAGCGCGTGGCAGCTCCAGGATAAATTATTACTTCCTCCTTATCAGGGTTTCTCAAAAGACATAAAGGTTCCCAAGTCCAAGTATGTGGGCTACATCAAGGATTATGAAGGAGCCACACTCATGGGCTGTGAGCTCAACCCCAGCATCCCCTACACCGAGTTCTCTGTCATCATCAAGAAGCAGAAAGAGGTGTGTGGGTGACTTTTAAATGAACTCTTTAACATTTTATTGATCTAAATGCTTCTTTCTGTCCCCTCAACTAAGATTTTTTTCTCATTTGTTGCCTTCAGATAATCAAGAAGCTGATTGAGAGGAAACAGGCTCAGATCAGAAAAGTCTATCCAGGGCTGTCCTGTTTTAAGGATGGAGTCCGGCAGATTCCCATTGAGAGCATTCCTGGCATACGTATGTTATTCTTTTTCAGTGTTGGGTAACCTTGGCTTTTAAAAGTAGCTTGATACATTACAAGATTATTGCCATTAAAAAGTAATGATTGCCATTACAGCATTAAATGCTGAGGAAAGTAGGCCACTTACCACATACATCCTGTGCAATTAAGCTGTCCAACTTATTGGTTATATTATCTACTGGGTTTTTATGGGCTTTATCGTACATCTACCTCTATAATCACCACCAACCTTGTTAATTTCCTCGGAGTGACAGGTTAAGCAGAACTAAAAGCTAATTAATCAAATACTTTTCGGATTTAAAGGCTGTTCTCTATGAAATCTGGATGGGTGGTTATTTTCCGTATGTATGGCTACCAGCCAAGGACTAGAGCAGGCTGCACGTGAATGCAAGAATTATGATGAATTTTTTGAATTTGTTTTGTGGCAACAAGACAAGCAGTATTTGCAATGTCACACAAGAAAAACAGTGGTTGGAGACTGCAGGGCAACCAAAATTATTGCACTCAGCTCGCTGTGTGCCTGCCTTTGAAGTGGTTGCTTTGAAGAAGGGAACCAGATTGTAAACCACTTCCAGTCAGCTAACATCTCTATAGAAACATTGGTGTGTCGGGACAGTGAGAAATCAGCAATAAGACTGAGTCAGCATCATGTCTGCTATTGCAAAGACTGACTGCAAGTTGTTTAGAGTCTATCTTTTTTAAAATTAAATGGGAATTCATTGCAGACTTTTGCCAGGTTTAGAGTGCAACACGCTCAACCTCTGCGTAACTAATTGGTCATCCAACTACTGCACAATCATTCACCCACCAGCATTTTTTTGTGGTTACACGGACGTTGCTGACCTATTTTTCCTCTAGTGACTAGAGAATGACTCAATTCTGGTGTATGAGTGTAATATTAGTTTATTTATATCAACAGGTGAAACTGGCTGGAAGCCTGTGGGCAAAGGGTAAGATGCTCCACTAATGATTTGGCTAATGTATTCACATTATATATTTAATCATTTTTGTCAACAATGATACAGTCAGACATTGTCTCTGGCCTTCATTAATGACAAAAATTTGCAGGCAATAATAACACGCATGCACATCTGGAAATAGCACTTAGCTAGCCTCAGTTTTATATCGTTTTTTTCTACCATTTTTCACTCTTCAGGAAAGAACTGAAAGACCCCGATCAACTGTATAGCACTCTGAAAACTATCCTCCAACATGTGAAGGTGAGGGATAGACACGTATAATGTAGTCTACATCTGACACACATATACACAGACAAACAGTTTTCTTAAAGGACTGCTTTGTGTTTTAGAGTCACCAGAATGCCTGGCCTTTTATGGAGCCTGTGAAAAAAACAGAAGCACCTGGGTACTACCAAGTCATACGCTTCCCCATGGGTACGTGTGTTAACAAGCACAGTTGTCTTAAAGGGGAGGAGATGAGTTACAGTTTGTGTATTACTAATTGTCTGCACTAGTCATTGCATAGTTGTACATTGTTTTGCAGTACGACAGCAGATTATTTCTTATTAAAGTCCACGTCTTTTACTGTTGTTATTCAGCTGGCATTAAAGCATGAACTAAGTGGGGTTTATTAGTTAAATGCCATGCTCATCCAGCCACTGAAAGGTATCATAATTGAAATTTCACATTTTTACAGACCTCAAGACAATGAGCGAGCGTCTAAAGAGCCGGTACTACACGACACGGAAGCTTTTTATGGCCGACATGCAGCGAATTTTCACAAACTGTCGTGAATACAACCCTCCAGAGAGCGAGTACTACAAGTGTGCCAACCTACTGGAGAAGTTCTTCTACACTAAGATCAAAGAGGCGGGCCTAATCGAGAAGTAAACCAGAGGAAGAGATTTGTCTTCACCTGAACAAGGATGAGGGTGTCCTGGGACAATGAACTGTTGTTTTAGACAATGCAAAAGACAAGCAAAGCAAAGGACACGACTACTGATTCTGGAGTAGATAGGTTTCAGAAACATATCTTAATGTAAAAGGTGCAAACGGGTCTTGGATGAACACTTTTGTAATGTTTGATGCTTGCTGGCCTAGACCATAAATCAGTAGCTTAGAATACCCTGAAAGATGGGTCACAAGGGGAAGGCCTCATTTAAGAACTGTAAGACTGTTTCCGTTTCCAGACAAAAGCATTGTAGTTTTTGTATTTGACCATGTGTCTCAGAGGCCCATGGAAAGAAAAGAAGAGCAGTAGTTAAACATTAAACAGAGCAGGTGTTGTTTGTGTGCTGAAAGCACTGTATCATGACAGCTGATCAGAGATTAACCACCCATCTTACTTAATCTTTGTTTTCATACTGCCTTTTCTGTGTCTGCCTCCTCCTCTCAGTTGACTCAGGTAGAGATGTTATGAGGAATTGCCGCATGCGCGGTAGATTAGTGTTACCTGTGAGGAAAGGGACTGAGAGTCCAAGTTTTCCTGTCTGTAAAACTCTACTCTTGTGAGCACGCATGACGTTAATGAAGTCAGTTTGTCTGTGAAGAGTTCATCCTGCCAAAAGAGGAATACATACTTTAAATTTGTACAGATTTTAATGCACTTATACCCCACTGTACATTTTAAATGTGTATATAACATATATTTTCTTTCCCAGAACTGAAAAAGGACAACAACAAAAAAAAAACCCAATCTTTTGCTTTTATCATGCCACATAGGGCAATTTGACTATCAAAATGCACTTTTATTTTTCCAAGTATTAGTTAACATGAATGAGAGCATCTCCTTTCCTTTAGAATTTGTTTTACATAGAAATTACACTGTTGACTAAGGACTAATTTAATTATCTAGAGTATATTCTTATTTATGTGCTGTAATTTAGAAGAATGAAACTTAAGGCAAGTTCTTAATTTATTATTTCTTATTTTTGTCCGGCAGATGGAGATTGATAACTTTATACTTTGGAGATAAACGAAAAGATTGTGCAATACTATGTACTTTTACTGTTTTGTAAAAAAGGTGTTTGTACTTTTCAAGCTTTAGAAAAAAAAAATACCTTTTGTAATGTCTGGAGAGATAATTTCATGCTCTTTCTACAGTTGGTTTTAATGACATAGCATTAGCCTATTTTATAGACTGAATAAAACAGAAGTGAGGCTAATTGCGTGTGTGCACTTTTTCCTACACAAAGACCTTGTTAGCCTTAATTGGGTTCAGCTGCAAACACAGCTGAGCTTCTCAGGCCCAACAAAACGAAACAGTGCTTTGATGAGAACCAGACTATAAATGGTTTGCATGGCCAGTGTTCCTTTGCAACTACACAACACTAAAACTGATGTCCAGATCTCATTGAGTTGAGCCCAAACTTGGTGTGTTCAGATATTAACCTGTCACAATGATGTGTAAACACTTATATGAAGTTTATTATCATACAGTAGAAGAAACATAAGCAGAATTACAAACATAAACTTCTTAAAGAATTCATAATAAACAATTTAAAATGGCAAATGGCAAAATTTAAACAATTTAAAATTGGGAAATGGCAAAATTAGGAAATCTGAGAAGGCTAATACTACATTCACCTAAAGACAAATAACAGAAATGAAAGCTTAAAAGAGACATAAACATAAAGAAATATATAAAAAATTATCACAGTTGTTCTTTATCACAAAGAAATCTCACTGACAGTAATACAAGAAAAAAAAAAACTAAATTAAAAATTACTTCAAAGTCAGGCACCAACTTTCAACGACACCCAACAAAAGACTCATTGTACTTTTCAAACGGCTGATGCCCACTCCTTGAATTCCTTGGATTCTGCACAGACCTCCTGCCAGACTTCTGCTTGAAAATTGGAGAGCGGAGGAACTGCACGTCTGTGAACTTGTCTCCCCGCCGAAGTTTCCTATTGAGGAGAAATGTTGAGTTTTCTTGCAGTAACAAAGAAAATAAAAACACAGTGAACCACGTGCAGTAGAGAGCGTTTGTGAGCTTACGCGTGCAACGAGGGCTCCTTGTAGTTGACCGCCATGGTGCAGCGCCGCTTGCGGATAGGAACGGGGGTGGAGCATCGAGAATCAGACGAGCCTCCACAGGAAAATTTACGATAGGCTGCAGGGGACAGATTGGTCACATCACACAGACTCAAGCCCCGCCCTGCTGGCCTTACACCAAGCCCACCTGCAGGAACGTGAAGGAAGATGTGAACCGTGAGAAAGAGGAAAAAGGAAACAGGAGTGAATTCACACGCATACACCAGTGCAACACAACAAAAAGGTGATTCAGCCAGCCCCTTGTGCTCGAAGATGTTGGCAACAAAAGGTTATTTATCAGAAAGAACACTTTCACAGTGATGTGTAAACTGGACATGCAGTTTTGGATTGAATCCTGTAACAGCTTACGTTTCTTGCATGATTTGAGCCTCTTTGGAGTTTGGTGGGGTAAAAGTGGTGGAGCTTCACCGGAGGAATCTCCAAAATTGGACAGGACATTGTCTATTCTCATCATCTCAGCTTCAATCAGAGGGCTGACAGGAAGCAAACAATCATTCTCCATTCCTTCTCCACGAGCCTCTGAAGCACCAGAACAAACAAACAAACACACACACACACACAGTTTAATCACTGTTTCATACTTTTTTGTTTATGTTTATTATGTTTTTTGTTTAATTAGTTTTTTAATGGCACAAATTAAACACCTACCTTGATAATTATCATGTTCCATCTTTACAGGGTCAGGGCTGTTAGAACAGCTAAAATCAGGTGACTGATCGAGGCAACCTGCTGCCTCTTCAGAGCCTGTAGTCTTGGGACTTGCCTCTTCATCTCTGAAGACTACAAAAAACAAAATTCAATAAAATACCAGAAAGTCTTCAATTATCAAATGTTAAAGAAAAAAAGAGACCAACAACAAATAAAAGATTAAACAAAAGCTGAGATTAAAAACAAATCTAAATGCTTACCAGTGATCTCTGGTTTTGGAGGGATGTTTTCCGTCTTTCTGACTGCGCTGGAGAGCCGGCCTCTACGAGTGGTGATGCCCTTGGTCTTGTTAGGGGAAGCTGGTCTCTGTCTGGTCTTGTGAGGAACATAAAGGCTGTCTTCTGATTCAGAAGATGGAGATGAAGAGCTGGATTCACTCTGCTTGGAAATCCCAGGTGAAGTTTCAGCCTGGGCCTGTCCTGTTTCTTGAGCCTCCTCACTCAAGGGTGTAATTCGCTGATTGTCCTCAGCCTTGGCCCTGAATGGTGTGATGTGGACGGTCTCTTCACAGTCAAAGTCAAATGTGTCATTAAATCCCAGTGAAGTGTTGAGTTTATTGCCCTGTGCTGGAGGTGCCGTTTTGGCCCGTGTGGCTGATCGGTCCCGACTCTTTGACCTGGTTCTGGGTTTGGTATTCTCCCATGGTTTCTTTAATGGGGCACGCTCTGGTTTGCGCCCTCTCTCGGGTTTTCGTGAAACCTGTTCTGGTTTGGAGGACAGCTGCTGTTGCTGGGTCTGCTTCCTGGTGACCTGTTGTCTACTTTTTTTGGGTGGCACTGGTTCAGGAGTAGAGTGCTGTAACTCCTCAGCAAAACCTGGATCTGCCATCTCTGGTTCTTCTAATTTTTGCATTTGACTGAGATTTTCACTGTCACTGCGAATAGGACTTGGGATCCAAGACCCAAAGCCAGTAACTGGACCTTCCTCACCCAGAATCTTCTGTTCTTGCAAACGTTCAGACCTCCTCCTGTTTTTATCTGTACGCTGACGCCGCACTCCTACTGTAGATGGCAAGGTCACCTGTTTTTCACACTGAGGATCCCCATTCTTGTTAGAGAGCTGAGGGTCTATGAAGAAACAAACGAACACGCACACACAAATTAAATAATTTCAATGTCTTGACTGTAGGATTAAGATAGACGCAAATGTCAGAAGAATAAGATTGAGACAATGTCCAAAGTTACTATATTAAAAGAAAGACCTCCAATAAGTAATATATTTGGTTAATAAGTTAACAGTCATGGATAATACCTAACAAAAATCTGGGATATTGAAGTATTTTTATGCATACCTGCACAAACGGGTGAAGATTCACAGATGATGTGGTCCAGGTTCTGGCTGGTCCGCTTTCTTCTGTAATTTAAGAGGAAGCAAATCTCAATATTTCACTCAGTTTAAGGCATATAACATTTTTTATGTAAGTCATTATGAGTTTTAAAACCTTACCTAACTGAATGCATGTTGTGCTTGGCATCAGTAGAAGGTTTAGTCTAAACGAAGCAAATAAATAATTCATACATTTTCTTTTACATTCAAAGTGAAGTGTCTCAAAATAATTCATATGGTCTACTAATAACTTAGGACATTCCTAATTTAAAAAATAAAAAAAATTTAAAAATCTGACAGCGCGTACCTCTGAAGCATTTGCCTGCAGAGCCTCCTGTTCTTTCAGCTTTCTCTTGAGCAGAAGCAGGTGAAGGAAGAGTGCCTGCTGCTCTCTTTTCAGCTGCAGGATCACTGCATTAGCCTGCCTCACTTTCTCCTTTTCAGCCTGCAAGGCCACAGCCAGCGCCTTGTTGTTCATCTGCACACCCATCAGGATGGTGTGCGTGGAGGTACTTCCTGAGAAAAAAAAAATGGAATCCAGTAAATGTCAGCATCATTATCAGAATATTAACAGACTGTCTCACAGTGTGGTATGCTGGCTGCTCAGCTGCTGACAAAAAAGCTCTACTGAAGGCCATTAACACAGCTGTAAACGACAGCTCTCAGCCTGGCCACAATCTGTTTGAGTTGCAGCCCTCAGGCAGACACTCATTAAAAACTTGGGTTTCACAGATTCTATTTCTATTACCACAATCAATTTATATTTACATTCTGTTTATTTATTTACTTATCCCCCATGCCAAAAATCTTCACCTGCAGATTGGAAATCAGCTGACCCAGGAGCTTTATGTTCCAACTACCTTTTTTAAAACAATCTTATAGTGTGTTTCAGTAACTTCGTGGATTAGCAAGAATGTGGGTTTAACATGGATGCAGCAAACTGGAGAGGCATTCCCAATCTCGTTATTTCAATAACAACAAATGTTTTCTATTCTATTAGGTAACTTTGTTGGGGGGTGGGCAGAATTGACAAAAGATTATTCACTTACCACTTGTTTTGTTCATCATCCTTGACCTGCCCCCGCTGGGGGCTGAGGCACTGGCCAGACGTTTGTTCCTCTTCTCCTTCATTTTCTCCTTTATGTCCTCCAGACTTTGCTGGAAGGACTTCTTCTGGGTCCGTTCTCTCACCATGACTCGGGATCTGTTATTACGGCGAAGTTCAGTGTGCAGTTCAAAAGCTTAACTCAGTAGCAAAACGGTATATCGGAGCAAAACAAACGAGGAAGCTAATGTGCGAGCTAGCCGTTAACGTTTGTTAACGCACTTTTCACTAACTGCAGTCTGGCATTGTATTCGAAAACAGCACCAAATGAAACCTACCGGAATAAATATTTAAATCACCAACACAATCCGTTTATATGATACCACTCGAGCAAAAACACATTTAGCGCTTAAAATGAGGAAACAAAATAATCAATTTTTATCGCAGCCTCCGTCCTCCGAGAGTTGCCGTTCGAATTGAGAGCCTCGACTGCTGATTGGTAAGAATTTCAGACGACGTCACTTCCTCCGCATGAAACGGCCGTCCGCTAGATGGCGCTGATGTATAATCGAAAACAAACCGCGTTTCCTCGCAGAGGAGACGTAATTTATTTAGTATTCATTATTCGTCTGCATATTTTGCTCCATTGAGACTAAACAGGAGACTACCGCACACAAGTACAATTATCTAATTATAATCCCTGCCGCTTCAAGCTGTCCCTTTTCACCCATATCATCCCTGTCAGCTGGAAACAAAGCAAAGAAAAAAAACATCCACAACTGGGAAATAGAGCCATAGTAAACGTCTGTTTTTTCACAAGTAGGAATTAGATGAAGACCCATTACGGATCAGGCTCATTCAACCAAAATGAGCATTTATAGCCTAATTGACTGCTGAAGATAAGAGCATTCAGAGCTCAGTAGAGTGCCCAGCTGCATGTGGATGGAGCTGATAACTGTGTTCATCCTAAACCCCTCTGGCAAGCATTGTTTGAGTCATATTCTTTTGAGTTTTTCCTGAAACTGCCGT